ACCGATAACTTTGGCTTACAGGTACCGGAGGCATTGGTGGTAAAGAGGACGGTGATGTGCTCCTTCTGCAACTTCCGACCCCGAACCTTGCTGGCAGACTGGACAACAAAGGTCTTGGTAGGCAGCTTTTTCCAAAATAGGCCGGATTCGTCCATGTTGAATACCTGGTCGTCAGTGTACTGCCCTTCCTCCATAACCTCACGTAAGAACGGAGGAAAATCTCTTGCCGCCACACGGTCAGCACTCACTTCTTCACCACCAATGTTGATGTTGGTGATATTGTTCCTCTTCTTAAACCTATGCAGCCAACCAGAGGAAGCATTGAAGGGTTTGGGCTCTGCAATTCCCATCTTACGTGACACTGCTGCGTACAGTTCACGTGCGTACTCTTGAACGGCTCGCGTGTCCACCGCCATGTTGCGTCGCGCCTGACGAATCAAGTAACTCACCAGCAAATTTTCCACCTTTAGCAGCACCTTGTTCTGGCAATACTTGATCATTGAAGCACCTGCAGACTTTGTGATTCTCATGTGCTCTTTGATATTGGCTGCATCCTTCTTAATAGTACGAATCGTAGATTCGTTGACTCCATGCTTGCGTGCGAGATCAGCTTGACGTGTTCCTTTCTCCATATCTTGAATTATCTGGTATTTCACTTCGTAGCTTAGGGAACGTCGTATCTTCTTTGGCTTAGGGCGGCTGGGTCCAGGTAAGGAAAGGTTTCTCTCTGGTGGCGGTGGTGGTCCGGTGGAAGCCATTTCACAGAACAATGGATGCACGTATACATTGTGTGGCCTGGAGGGATGAAACTGCCGCGGCTAGGTCAAGCGTCGTCTTTCCTCCCTCCCTCCCCTGGGTGGACACGTCATATTACTTTAAACCAATTACAGCTAGCAGTGGAGGGAGGTAGGGATGCATGGCCAATCACAGTCCAATACGTCATATGACGTCAGTGATAACGCAACAGAGACATGCACTGCGCAACCTTACCGCGCGGCTTGGCCAGGCGGAGGCAGGAGCAGGCGGGTGGGGCGAATCTAAAAATAGCGTCGAGCCGGACACTCTGCGCGTATATGGGTAGATGAGCCGCGGAAAGTGAAAGTTTGGTTCTGGCGAGACACCGCGTAAATGAGAAAACGCGGAAAGTGAAACCACGTAAAGCGTGGTAATACTGTACTGGTAACAAGTTTATGTTCTTACATTTGTAGGATTATAGTGTAGGGTATTAAGAATTACCAGTAATAACTTCAAGTCAACACAATATTCTCATTCTGTAAACAACAAAAATTGTTCAAAACATTTAAATTAGCTTAGTTGAACATTGAAATGCTTATGTACTGTGACAAGCTTAGATGCCTTTTCCTTTCCTAGGCGATTTCTTACCTTTGAGTGTACAAATCCTTATGTGGAAAAAATTCTCTTAACCCCTCCTGATGATGCAACAGCTGTAAATAATTGCCTAGGAACATCCATTACATTTTCTGTCATATCATTGGCAAAATACTGCCACCAAGCAAGGGGTGAGAGAGATTTTACAACATCTTTACCAAAATAGACCTCTTTAAATGGTGCACTTCTTCCATGGAAGGAGATTAATGTTGAAAGGCAATGTGGAAGAGACTCGCACACATACTGTTCTGCAATGTCTCGCTGCTCAGGAGTCAGATGTCTGCCCTGATACCTTGGATCTATCACATTAGCTAGAAAATGGGCAGGTGTCAATGCTACTTTGATTCTTTTTTCAAAATTATCCATATCCTTCTTATCTGTTAAATACTCCTTAATATCAGTTTTCAGTTTTACCCAGATTTCTACAGTATCACTTAATAGGGTATGTTCTCTCTGGACACAGTCCAATGCCACAGCAATAGGCTTAAGTCTCTCTAAATAGTCTTCTGCAGTTCTTTTTAATGCCTTATCATTAACTTTCCTTTCAATGTCTTCACTATTTTCTTTGCACACTTTGACAAGGGTCTCCCAGTTCTTTAAATAAGATTCAATAGAATCTGTCACTGTGTTCCATCGTGTGTCTGATGGCATTACTAGCATTGTTCCTCCTGCTCTTCTATACAAAGATCCTGGGATGTGATGATTTCTGAAGTGCTTAATGAATTCAGTAATGTACTCCTTAATGTTCTTGATTTGCAGGTCTTGTGAAAGCAAATTTAACAGGTGTGCAGAGCAACCATATGTTAAAATGGATTTATCTTGTCCGAATTTACTTCTCATTTTTGCCACATTAGCAGCATTATCTTTTACACAGCTTCTTACTGCGCATCCAAATTTGTCTTCACACTTTTTTGTAGCACATTCAGCTAATTTCAACAGATATTCAGCTGTGTGTCTTGATTCTGTATCTATAGAGTCAACAAGATAAATACGGTTGTCCGCTGTTAAAGTTATACATACTATAGGCTCATTATGGACATTACTCCATCCATCCATGGCCATGCAAACTGTTTTCCCACTGAGTTCTTCTGAATAATTCTTAATCACTGAATTGTAGGCTTGATCCAAAAGAGACCCTCCAATTTGATGTCTATTAGGTGGAACATATGCTGGTCTTAGCATTTTAATCATCTTGATAAACTCTTCGTGCTCCACTGTTCGGAAGGGTGAATTTGTTGCATATATATAATTAGCAACTTGCTGATCCAAAGTGACTTTTTCAGACTTAGTAGTTTTTATCACAAAACCAGTTATGCTTCTTTGTTCCATAGAACTACCCCTCTTATCTCTCTTAAATGGTGAGGGAGAAGGAGCATCTGATATATCTTTAACTAGAGATGATAATGATGAAGCTTTTGAAAGTGAGGTGCTTGGATGAGGTGATGAGAAAACAGTTATTAGTAAAAAAATCATTTTGATTTAAATCATGATTTTTTTACTCTGATTTAAATCGATTTAAATCATTTGATTTAAATCATAACAACCCTGCTTAAGACTATCCTTATACATTTTCAGTTGCTCGCCAGCATTATGTTTACTATTTGTTAGGTGACTATAAAGTAGCTGCTTTGGCAGTCTACTTATGTCCATGCGTGTAACATGGCCAGTCCAGCATAAATGTTCATGGATAATGGTAGCTTCGATGCTTCTACAGTTGGTGTCAGCAAGAATACTGGCATTTGTTCTCTTGTCCTCCCAGCGAACTCGGAGGATGGAACATAGACTACAGTATGTTGGTGAAAGTTTTCTGGTGCCTTGAGGTGCCTCCTGTATGTGACCCATGTTTCACTGCCATATAGCAGGGTGGGGAGGACCACTGCTCGATATACATGAAACTTTGCAGATAATTTCAGCTCCCTACAGCTGAAGACATGGTTTCGGAGTCTGCCAAAGGCTTGAGATGCACATCTGATCCGATGCTGAATTTCTTCATCGATGTCTGTGGTGGTGGACAGGTGGGAGCCGAGATACCGAAAGCGGGTAGCATGAGAGAGGGTAGTATCGTTAAGCTGGATGGATGGTGGAAAGTATGGCTGAACCAGGGGCAGGCTGAAAGAGAATCTGAGTCTTACATACATTCACCTCAAGGCCAAAGTGTGCCTACGCATCTGCATAGGTGTTCAGGATCTCCCGTAGGTCGTGTTCAGTGTGAGCAACAAGGGTGAGGTCGTCTACATGCTGAAGCTCAGTAATGGAAGCTGCAAACACCTTTCTTCCTGCCTGGAGGCATCTTATGTTGAAGAGATCCCTTTATCCAGTATTTGATGTCAACCCCTCCGGCTAAATTGTCGCTGGCATGAGTAAGCAAGGAAGCCAGAAAATGGAAAAGAGAGTTGGTGCCAGTACACACCCTTGTTTAACCCCTGCTTGGATGGGGAAGTACTCAGACTGGGTGCCATTGTGCAGGACTTTGCTGTTCATGCCATTGTGGAGTTGCCTCACAACAGTGATGAATTTTGGTGAGCAGCCAAAACGGCTAATGGTCCACCAGAGGGCTTCCCTGTTGACCGAGTCAAAGGCCTTGGTTAGATCGATGAAAGCCATGTACAGGTCATGATACTGTTCTCTGCATTTCTCCTGTATCTGGCGGGCAGCAAAGATCATGTCAGTGATGCCACGTGATGGTCTAAAGCCACATTGAGATTCTGGGAGGAAGTTTTCTGCCTCAGGAAGAAGTCTGTTTAGGAGGACTACCGATAATCTTGCCAGCTACGGAGAACAGCGAGATCCCACAGTATGACCGGTCTCCCTTGTTCTTATAAATATTAACAATGGAGGCATCTTTTAGAGCTTGAGCCATTTCCTCCTTTTCCCGTATATTCTCCAGGGGAGAGTGGAGACGGTTGGTAAGCAGAGGTCCTCCTGCTTTATACACCTCGGCTGGGATTCCATCAGGCCCTGAGGCTTTCTTATTTTTCATCTGTTTGATGGCAGTAGCTACCTCATCCAGGGATGGAGGATAGCTGAGGTGGGTCAGTTCTGTATGCTGAGAGACCTGCTGGGTAGTCAGGAAATTAGGTGTTTCAGTTGAGCTTTGAATGATAGTGCTCTTTCCAGCGCTGAAGCATGCCTTCATTGTCTTCAATCATAGGGTTACAGTCGGATGAGTGGAGGGGGGCTGCGCCACAAGTGGTTGGTTGATAAAATGTTTTAATGGAATTGAAAAATTCGTGCATATTCTGCTGATCTGCAAAATTTTTGTGCTTCACATGCTTTATTTTTAAACCAATATTTCTTTAGATTGCGAAGTGCCCGCAGGGCCTCCGCTTTCTTCTTGCAGAAGGTATCAGCTTTGTTCTGAGGCTGAGAGTTGTTCTACCAGTCAGTTAAAGCAGCACATTTTAGGCGCTCAGCGTCAATAGAGGGTGAAGCGACACCCCGGCCAAAATGCATTTTTTTATGGATATCACTATTTTTACCCTTCCTCTACATGTTGGCATTAGATGTAACCCTCTAGCTAGAAAAGAAATATGGTTGAAAGTCCTTCAAAAATAAGGTGTGATTTTGCCTCAGGCCTGGAGCTATGTATCTGACTGTGCACTGAGTTCCAGAAAATGGCAACATCCCATCCAAAGCGAGAGGAGCGTGATCCAATGACAGCGCGCCTCCCTCGGACCATACCCTCCAAAGCAGCCAATCACAATGGATTTCCCCTTGCTACGTCACAACTCCTCAGCCAATCTGCACGCCCAGATGCTGCCTCCTCCTTAGTTTTGGCACGTATTTTAGCATCAGGAGGTTAAGTGTACATTCTACTGCTTTTTTTATATAACTTTTTGGCAGGTGTAAGAAGTGCTGTGCAATATCTGCTAGATATTAGAGCAAGACTCGAGTGATGGCAGGCCTTCTGGTGTGGGTTCAGGAGCCCATTATTCCTGAGCATGTGTTTGATGCCAGTGCTCACATGGACACCCCAGTAATGCTTGGTGATAGTGATTTTGGTGGTGAATTTAGTGTTGATTATGGCAATACAAGTGCTACTGGCATTGGTACAGGTCACGTGCATGATTGCAGAAAAATACCATACATGACGTTATGAACCATTGGGAGATCTTTTTAGAGAATATGATGACTTACCTGTTGACAATGAAAGTGACTCACAGCATGATGAAAGTGATTATCATAATGACAATAACACTTTGAACTTTGAACCTGTTTGTAGATGTTTATTTTCATTCATAAAAGTGCTTGAATTACTTTTTTGGGGCCAAAAAAAAAAATTCCTATGGAACGCATCTCCAGTTTTATAGTGGAAGTCAATGGGAAAATAGGTTTCGCGTTACAGAATTTCGCGATACGGTCAATTTTCCAGGGACGCAACCATTCCGTAACGCGGGGGATGCCTGTATTAGCCTACACTAATACAAATTTTTTGCAGAAAAATGCAATTATTGTTGTTTGAAGCTCAAACAACTGTACATCGCGGGTAGTTATTCTCATTCAACTTGCGATAAAATAATGATTATTCACAGTACTAACTTCCAGTTTTCACAGTTTGCTAGGAGAGGGATTGAGCTGCACGATAAAAAAAATGAACCGTCAAGCTTAAAAAAAAAATTATGGTTGTTTGAACTTCAAAAAACTTTAAACGCGTATTTCTCAGCTTTTTGAATTTGGCCCTTCACCTTCTGATGCGGAGTGCCTCATTTATCATCGACGAGTACATTGATTGCCGGGTCATTTTCATCAAACCAGTCCTGGTGTATTCTTTCAATCTGGTCGAGGGTCTCTCTGCAGGGTTTTGTCATGACAGTGTCGAGAATATCCCATACGGCACTGGGATTTGGGTTGTTTGTTGTTGGGTTGTTTATCAGCCTATGTTCGAGATTCTCCCTGAAAGCATGTGCTACTGCTGGATTCTACAGATGCTCTGTGGTAAAACCTCTTCTGGAGGCTTACTGCCTTTGCCGTTTTGGGGCGATGTGAAGTGAGAGTTTTGCTCTGACAAGCCGATGATCAGTGTTGCATTGGTCAGAGCCACACATGGCACGGGTGATGAGGACATCTCGGTGATCTCTTTCTCTGACAATGATGTAATCAATGAGCTGCCAGTGTTTGAATCTTGGGTGTTACCACGAACCCTTGAACTTTTTGGCCTGCCTAAACAAGGTATTGGTGATAGTGAGGTTGTGTACAGCACACTTGTTGAGGAGGAGTAGGCCGTTGTGATTACACTTACCCAGTCCATTTCTCCCTATGGTTCCCTGCCATATGTCAGTATCTCTGCCAACTCTGGCATTGAAGTCACCAAGGAGCACAAGCTTATCTTCTCTGGGGATGGAGGTTAGCACTCTGTCGAGGTCGGTGTAAAACACCTCCTTGATGTCATCCTCGGCATCCAGTGTTGGGGCGTATGCACTGATGATAAAGGCATGATGTGAGGGATTCGGTGGGACTTGAACCGTCAAGAGGTGCTCGTTGATCCCAATAGCCACTTTAGTTAGCCTGTGTAGGATGCGTTGGCGGATGGCAAAGCCAACTCCATAAATACGGTTGCTCTCCACAGCAGGCTTACCCTTTCAGAAGAAGGTATAGCCAGACCCCTGTTCTGTGAGTTGATCCTCGTCTGGTAGCTGGGACTCACTAATGGCTGCGGTTCTTCTTTCAGGACGCTCACTTGTGCCAGTAACCAGAAGGGTCCTGACATTCCATGCAGTGACCATAAGAGGTTGAATAGTTTGTTTTTGGTTGGATCTGTGATTTTGATTGTGTTTTCGACCGCATAAGGATGACCTTATTGGGTGCGGGGTTGCCTAGTCAGGTTGGATTTTTAGGCAGGCTATGTTTAGGGTACCTTTTGTAGTCCCCTCCCCATGTGGGGTGAGCATAGTGTCTTCTCGAAAAAGCTGCTCAGTCACACAGACAGGACCAGACGGCACTGCTGCCTAGATCCCAGTGCATAAACGACCATCTTGTCTGTGCCGCCCATGTGCAAAGTTGTGACTAAAGGCTCCCGGCAGTCATCCTTGCCTGTCCCCGTCGCCACTCGCCCATCGCCATAGAACTTTTGGGGGTATAGGGGTTTTGATGATGATAAGTATGATGAGCTGAATGATGGCTGTGCATGTGTTGATTTATGTGGTGAGACAGGAGTAAGGTTGCAATCACACATCTTGGCTATCCCTTCTCCTGATCCAGTGGTGCAAGTGTTGCAGTGACTGGGAAGAGGGAGAGTTGCAATGGACTGACGAGTGCCCACTTTGTTGGGTTTTGTCTTCGTCCGCCGGATGTAGTCGTTGGGTTCCCATGGTGGTCACCTTGATCCCCAATATCGCCATTTGGGTCTTTTTGGAGCTCTGTAAGCATGTTTGCCTGATGCGGGCCTCCACAGCAGATTTTTTGTTTGGGGTTTACTGCGGTAGCCTTAAACCTACCAAGGTTAATCCGCAAGGCAGCGGGACAACTGGTGGTAGGCGCCCGGATGTGTCCACATGCCAGGGGGCCTATGTGCTGGTCTAGCCTGGGCCCACAAGGCACCCAGTTACTGTGTGTTCCCATGAGGAGGCACAGCAGGAGTCTTGACGGTGAAGAGGCTGTGTGCTGGCAGGGGAAGACTTATGCAAGTTGCTTCCCTGTTCGCCATGAGGATAAGCCAGCGGCGGTAGCTGAAAACGAGAGGAAGCAAGCAGTGCTTGCACATTAACACTAACATAATGCTGCCACACTAGATGCATTTCACCACCCCGTGCACACACACACATCATTGGTGAAACATACACCATAAGAGGCTGATCACACATGAATATAATGAATAACTAAAACAAACATGAATGTGGCAACAAATAGTCCCACCCTCACTACCACCAACAGGGAAGAAATTATCTTCTGATTCAATTGCCATTTTGTTTTAAGTCAAATTAGATATCTTTTTTTCCATTATTTTATACTGTATGTTATATTATTTATGCTGAAATATAAACCATAATAGGCTGATCATAAGAGAATTCTGTAGAATAATGAATAAATAAAATCAAACTTGCAATAGTGGCAACGGCCAGTCCTCCCCCACCCATCTACAGCACATTTACACAAAGTGTCATCTTGTGCCTATTAGTCCATATATAATCTGATGAGACTACAGTGGTCCCTCGGTTAACGAACGGTTCGATTAACGAAATTTCGGTTAACGAATTAGCTCCCATAAGGATCTTCAATTCGGTTAATGAACAAAACTTTGATTAACGAATCCTTACGACAAACACGTTTTCTTGTGAGCATCAGCTGATCGGCTAGTCCGCCAATACAGTAATCGGTTCTGTGTTTACATTCGTTTCCGGTGGAGTAAATATCAAGAAGGTTGTGCTCTTTAATATTTTTGCATTTTTTATATTAAAATTATTATTCATTTTAAAATTTAGTTAACATATTGATAATAAATGCAGTACAGGGAACTAGTTTTTTGTGCGCCCATCAGCTGCTTGACTCACCCTCCAAAGCGTCAGTTTAACTTTGTTTACAGTGGAGGAAACATCATGTTTGTTGCTCTCTTGAATACAGTGGTCCCTCGGTTAACGAATTACCTCCCATAAGGATCTTCAATTCGGTTAACGAACAAAACTTCGATTAACGAAATCCTTACGACAAACAAGTTTTGTTGTGAGCATCAGCTGATCAGCTGATGAGTTAGTCTGCCAATTCAGTAATCTGTTCTATGTTTACATTTGTTTCCAGTGGAGTAAATATCAAGAAAATTGTGCTCTTTAATATTTGTGCGAAAGCAACAGTTCACCACGCCTGGATGCCACTATTCCCACATCTTGCCAAGTTACAGGATAACCGCTAGCGACAGGAAGATCTCTGGGAGACAGTTCAGTCAGTCCAAAGTATCCTAACCCCTGGCCCGTGAGATGATGATGTGGTGCTTAATAAGATACGAGGTCACTACCAAGAAAATTATAACAAGAAAATAAATGACCATAAACAAGATCTGATCATGCGTTACTTGAGCCGTAAACAAGAAGAAACTAGGCAAGTGATTGAAGCAGTTGAACATGTAGAGGTGGAAGATGAAGGGGAAGAAGATCATCATGACCAAGCTAGCCTGCCAAAGGACTTTTATTTTGAAGGCTTTGATCTAGTGGTGGCATTGGTAGAGGAGGGGGGCGACGTACGTTAGCATTCCTCCCCCGTCTCAGATACCAGCTTAGCGTACATTAAGCTCCTCAACTTTAATTTTCAGGTTGGTTTTCTATGTTTATGTTGCTTAACTAATTATTCATTCTCTTTCAGCTTTAAAATATTGGTTATATGTGGATAAAATAGGAAGAATTTGAGACTTTGGGTGGCCCCTTGGTACCAATTAGGCTTTTACCCATTGGATTAAGCTTTTTGGTTTAGCGAGGTTTTTCGACACCAATTAGTCGCCAAACTGGAGGGTTTACTGTATGCTCTCTAAAATGAAATATTTGCTGTTCCAGTGAGTGGAGACATCATGTACTAATTTTGAACATTGAACAAAGAGAGAACGCATTTATTGATCCAAAATATTTAATATGTTAGAGTAAATACGACTGCTAGTTGCTTTCCAAAGCAGTTTACTCACAGTAAGATCTGCCATATGTTTAATAATGGGAATGGATAGTAACAGCAGTATCAGCTGAAAATTTACCGATATCAATACTCCAAAAATAGGCCCATACCACCGATACTTCCCTACTATAGTATGATGAAAATTTCTTCCTATATGTGTAAGTGACATAAACATGAATAACTCGCTATTCACAACCCTGTTTACCCGTAATTG